GCATTTATCAAAACAAATAAGTCCGGAAGGCATAGCTTGTCACTCCGTCACTCCTTTTTTTTTTTGTTTTTGTTTTTGTTTTTTCAAGACAGGGTTTCTCTGTGTAGCTTTGCGCCTTTCCTGGGACTCACTTGGTAGTCCAGGCTGGCCTCGAACTCACAGAGATCTGCCTGGCTCTGCCTCCTGAGTGCTGGGATTAAAGGCGTGCGCCACCACCGCCCGGCCAGAGAGCACTCTTGCAGAGGAACCAGGTTCTATTTCCAGCACCCACATGGTGGTTCACAAACATCCATAACTCCATTTCCAGGGGATACCCTCTTTCTAACCTCTATAGGTACCAAGCACACACATGGTACACATATATGAAGGCAACACTTACATATAAAATAAAATGAATACAACTAAAGTCTAAAAATGAATAAGTTCTGGTGTTGTATTGCCCTGGAAGAGGTCTATAGTTAACAATGAATTGTAAATTTCAAAATATCTATAAAAGATAATACTAAATGTTTTTGTCATATAAAAATTTTAACACTTGAGATTATAGGTATGCTAAATTTCCTGAATTGGTCATTCCACAATGTATATATATAAGGAAATACCAAACTGTAGCTTACAAATATATGAGATTGCTATTTATCAATTAAAATTAAGATTAAATAAAAAAGACGATATATCTGCAAAGGGAAAATTATTCAGCAACCAAAGAAAGAAAACTACCAATACATGCTACAATTAGGATAAAGTCACAGTACATGCTAAGTGAAAGGCAACATACCTTAAATGTTACATAGTGCATATTTATTCCTATTGAGTATCCATAAATGTAAAATTGTGCATAGAATATTAATTATTTTTCTAAGATTGGAAATATTCATTAAAATACTGCAAGCAGATACAGATATTTCATATATTCTAAAAATGGGTTGTAGCAATTAGTTGCACAACATTCTAAATTTAATAAAGATCATTGAATGGTCTACTTTGAATGGGTACATTTATGGTACAAAACTATACTTCACTACAACTTTTTAAAGAAGATAACATTTAGCTGGGTGTGGTGGTACATGCCTTTAATCCCAGCACTCTGGAAGGCAGAGGCAGGTGAATCTCTGTAAATTCAAGGCCAATTTGGTCTACAAAATGAGTTCAAGGACAGCCAGGACTACATAGATACACCCTGTCTCAAAAGAGAAAAAAAAAGTAACATTGTATTTGGTTTGCCAGCTCTTTCTCCTCTGTGTTTGAATGACCAGCAATATACCATGTAGGGGCAATTTTTATTTCTGAGAAATAAAATATACCTTTATATATTGAATTAAAAATATAGATGTAACCAACCGTCTTATTAAATAAGAAACACAGAAACAATGTAAAAGAGATAGTCGAGAAGTCAGAGCTCAGAGCTAAAATCTCACCCTTCCTCCTGCTGTCCCAGCTTCGCGGAAAGAGGCCTACTTCCTGTCGGTTGGTTTTTTTATAGTA